AAAAAAAAAAAAAAAGCATCCAAAGAAGATTGAACTGTTGTAAAAATTCAACAAAAGGTTTTCATAACAAAGGAAACCTTCTTTGATAGTTACCTGGGGTAGAAGGGAAGACAGAGTAATTCATTGGCTAGTGATTAGACACATGTTACCTGGGGTGATGAAGAGTGCAATATACAAGAAGGATGAGGGCAATAAATAAGAAGAGGGAGGTTGGTAGAAGAATGGTGAAGACAGGTGCAGACACAGGGACGTATGCAAGGTAAACGTTGGAACAACAGTGTTCTGCAGGTAGATACATGGACAGAGACACAGCCTGAATGGGTATGGGAGGAAGAGTGGGAGTATACCCACAAATACATCTTATGGCAATGAGTTCCTGGGCTTGGGGGCTTAGGACATAGTCTCTCAAGGGACACCATTGTCAAGTGGCATAACATAATCTACAAAGACAATGTTCTACATCCTATTTTGGTGAGTAGCATCTGGGATCTTAAAAAACTCATGAGCGGTCAACTAAGGTATCATTATTTGTCTCTTCATGTGCCAAAGAATGAAGAATGATGAAAATTGAAGAGGTTTGGAATCAATCAGTCCAATGGACTAATGGAACATGTGAACATCAGTCTCAATGACTCTGAGACCAGAAGAATGAGATGGTGCCCAGTTACCACTTCCAACTGCTCTGAAAGGAATCATATTAGAAGGCCCCAGATACAGTGGGAGACAATGTGGAACAAAACTCAGTTATTTTAGTAAAAGACCAGGCTTACTGGTCAGAGACAGACTGGAGGAACCCAAGACTATGGCCCTTGACCACTCTTTAGATCTGGAAAGGAACTTGCCCTCGTAGCTCAATTTTCATCAAGCAGTAAATAGGTTTATAAGGGGACAACAACACTAGGAAAGAAGGCTCACCATGGAATTGCCAGTCATTCAAAATCAAAAGGGCAGCATTTACCTAAGGACAACGTTGAAAAGGGTTGGGAAGGTGGGTGGAATGTGAAAAGGAACCACAGGTAGGAAGCGGGCAACTGTTATTCCATGCAGGGGACTGCAATCATGGGAATAAAAACAAAGTGTGTGATTTGTTGAATGTAAAGCTGTTAATCTCTGTAAACCTGCATTCAATTCACAATAAAAGATTTAAAAAGAAGGAAAGAAAGATGAAAGGAATACAAAGTCACTCTATTGGTCTCTCCATGTGTAGAAGAAAGAAGAGTGATAAGAATTGAAGAGGCTTGGAATCAATTTATCCAATGGACTCATGGAACATGTGAACATCCATCTCCATGAGTCTGAGACCAGAAGAACTATAAGGTGCCTGACTACTACA